TCTTAAATGGATCACCTTGTATACTGTCAAAAGCGGTCATTTACTCGTGGCGAGCGATTAGATATTATATTATCACAATATATTATTATGCTTCGAGCCAGTTGCGGAGGGAAATATCAAATTTTTTGAGGCACAGTATAAAATAATCGTTGACATTCACCCCATGACCAGACTAAAAACTCTGCAGTACTGTGTCGAGTGTATGGTGTACCTCGTCATTGATTAAGTCACCGTAATTTATACATATTGTGTTAAATTTTAATTCAGTGACAGATCATTGCATACGAAAAACAATTCTGACCGAAGACAGTCTGTCTGTCTATATAGGACGTATTACTAAGGAGTAGTCATATTGTATTTTAGACTGAATTAATATTGTTTAAGAAAACATTGCATTTATTATATCATTGTTGATATGAGATTATAATAGGTATTATAATTTATAATAGTATTTGCATGTTAGGTATATTATTATTGAGTCAATACTGATTTACCACTTACCGTTTAAGAACGGTGTGATTTTAGGTAAGTGGTGTAAATATACAATTATAGCATACAATTAATCCAAATGAATTAAAATAGTCATTGCGTGAGTACATGAAATATAATAATGTATCTACGCAAATATCCCGTGTCGCCTTGAAAAATATTTTTGAATTACAATAAAATAACTTAACCTGCAGTTATTCGTATGGCTTAAACACCTTAAATAGTTTATGTCTGAACTTGAAATTTCTTTAAGAAAAATGCCGTTTATATATTTTTAGATTATTTTGTTCCAACATGAAGAAAATATAAGGAACCCCCATTGCCTTAATTTTTCTAAAGTTGAACGTTTTATAAATTTAAAAGCCACAAAATAATTGCAAATTTTAGTAAATTTGAACAAAATTTGATCTTGAAATGCTTATGAAAAAAGTGTAATATATTTTAAAGTTTATTGACCAAGCAATAAATTTCTCGGTATAATTTGAGAAAAAACAGCAAATTTCTATAAATAGCTCAAAAGAGGTTCAAAATATATTGAACATTTTACCAACCATAGAAAATATTAATATAAATATGCTTTGTCAAAAATGTCAAGTATCTATGGTCTTTCGTTTTTTTAAATTTAATAAAATAAGAAAATTGATTTTGTCAAAAACTTTTCAGTGATTAAGAAAATTACTAGAAACTTTTTACTTTTGATCATAGTTATTACATTTGACTAAGTACCACTTTAGTATCCGGAAATATGCTAAGTGCAAAATTGAAACATTTTTTCTACTCTGCAATAAGTGTGTTCAATGAAAACAATGACACACTCTTCACAACGATAAAATACTGAAATGCAAGTGCCCAAATTATCCACGGTGAAAATCTCGCTAGCGACATTCATCTACCTACAGTCGTCTACATACCTTAAATAGGCACCTTGTATATATTTACCCTCCCTACGAAGTCGCGGGTCTCGTGCTTGAAATAAATACCTTCACGCCGCCACTAAAATGTTGAGCTAGGAAGAGGACGGAACACGCCATGCGTATATATTATTACTACCTAAAAAAAAAGTGTTAAATCTTTCGCGGGCGCTGGGTCGTCGTCGACTGCAGCTCTGTTTCCGTCGCCACTAAAAAATCGTTCGGTCGGGGGTCGGTCGTACAATTGCGACGATTACAAGCACAATATTTTTACTGTACAATTATAATTATTATCATTATAATATAATATACACTCGACTACTCGAGTGCATTATAGTCGATCGACTTAAAACGATATTATTTATACAATACGCTGAAACCCGAGAAGCGCGCATGTCAAAACAATAAAACACAACATCATATTATATTATTATTATTATTATTATTATTATTATTATTATTATCATTATTATTATAACAACAATAACAACAATACCAGCGCACCTTGTACGCTCGTGTTTGTGTGCGTGTGTGTGTGTGTGTGTGTGTGTGTNGTGTGTGTGTGTGTGTGTGTGTGTGTGTGTGTGTGTGTGTGTGTGTGTTTGTTTGCGTATCGTTTTTATGTATCCTCGGGGAGACGCCCGCCGGTCCCGCCCCCGTCGCGATTTCGGGCCTTAATAAGGGTCGCCCGTCCGCCCCGCCCTGTCCCAAAGGGTCTCGGGTCCGACACGACGCGTGCACACGAAAAACGGGCGCACGCCGGACGCCATCGTCGTCGGTACGCGATATTTAAAATAATAATAACAACGTCATTTTGTCGCACTCGAACCGTCGCAGTGGACGCGTCGACGCGTTCATACGATTTAACAATATCATTATTGTACGTTATTAATATCTGCACTCTTCGTGCCCCCAGACGTCCAAATTCGCGTTCAGCTCCTTTCCGAAAACCTCTCCACGACGCTCACTGGACGGTGGCGTTTCGACATTCCGTTATTGTAATAATTATCATGCGATAAGTCCCTCGGTTACGACTTTTTCTCTTCTCGTTCACCACCGACCCGACTGTAGTCCGATGACCGCCGGCCATCGATTATTATTATATTATTGCTGTGAATCCGCTTCCCCGCGTGTATGACGACATTATAATCATTACCACTATTATTATTATCGTAAAACACCGAAAACCACTGTCTCGGACGGAATTAATACCGTACGACATGTTGTCGTCTTACAGAAAAGGTTAGTGAGTATTATATATATATATATAAATCATTATGGCACGCGGATATCTGACGCGTTTAAATGCGATTTCGGCGTAAAATAATAACTATTACTGTCACACGCGTTACTATATCGGATTTTTAATATAATAATACCCGCAATATAAATTTTCAAATTAACGGTTGAGGTCCAAAAACGGGTAGTGTACTTACATATTAACCGGTTAATGTATACCTTACGCACATATAAATAGTACACAAATTATACATTTAGCCGCCTCAAATATTATGATGTATAATGAATCCAATCAATGCATTGACAAATACGTCAGCAGGTGTTGTGTGGACAAAGTATTAGTCGTATTACTATAATCATCGTAAGGCCGGTACAACAATGATTCGATAATACAGAATCTGGTGTTGTACTGTTCTAGTAGATGTCGAAAACCAAATCATACTAATCCGATCTTAAATTATATACTATACTTGGAGAATTTCACTATTTAATTAAGATTTAAAAATAAAATAAAATTATCTAGTAGGACAACAAATGTTGAGTTTGAGTGACATGTAGAATTCTAGAGTATTCCATCGGCTTTTTCGCTTAGGTACATTTATTTTAGAATAGCAGCAATTATTCATACTGAAAACATTTTTTTTACAATTTTGGAAAACTGGAAAAAGATTATACTTATATATTAAATACTGTTTCACGCAATTTTTTTTTTTATAGCCAAGATTTCTAAAATATCTATTGTTAGGTAAGGTTCATCAATAACAATAATCTACTGTCGTTATTTGATTAAAATCAAAGTGTGTGCTATACTTATTCAGCCGTAGATTTGTGTAATGTACAAATTATAAACTGGTAATTTACGAATTAGTAAACGTTTTATTAATAGAATATTTTTACTTTATCCGTTTGGTATATGGACATTGCAGTGTTCACCACAGCCCAATAATGTGTACATTATCCGTCTTTCGTACTTTACCCGTAACATATTATACATATTTTATACGCGACGGGCTCTCTCCAGATAAACGTTTCTCATTCGCAACGAGAAGATCGTGTCTCTGTGGTGTTATTTTTTTTTTTCGGTGCGAACGAGCAAAAATCCGATGGCGATTTCAGCGTAATTTTTTCTGCGGACGTTGTCTCGTGAGAACATTCCTCACGAGATGCCTTACAAACGTACTCCGTATATTTAATATTATATACGCCACACAGATATTAAACAGCTCGCACACGCACACACACACTCACGCATTTATAATAATACGAGCTATGTATAAGACGAGCATATAAGTGTCCCCCTCCCCAACCCCGTGCTTATGTATCTAGTTTGCTCGAACAGGGATAATAATTTCTAAAGCTATAATGAATTATTTGAAGAGTTATCAATTTATCATATATGTCGAGAGACATCGCTAGATCATAATATTGTTATTAAAGGTGCACTTGCTGTTCGCGGAAGACTAAATTGCTATGCGGAACTGCGGAAAAAATCTCTTTTGTTTCCACCGAGATACGAACAGCATTGACTTTTATTTCTGTCAAAAACAATATTTTACCTGATTAACGAAACACATCAATGCAGGGGGGTTTTCATAGTTCAATCAGTAATCTAACATTATAATAGCCGCTTTAGTAGTCCACGCGTGGAATGCCTATATTTTCGGTTTTATTTATAGTAAAAAAATCATGAATGAACTATATATTGCTGTTTGTTGCAGCGATGAAGGACGAGTGCATCATAATGTACCTATCTACCAATTATAATTATATTGGTACATCTTGACATCTTGGCAATTAGTGTAAATTATGCGAGTTTTTACTGTGAAGTTAAAATCATCTTTATACATTACCATTTTTTTTTTTACCAAATAAAATTATGGAAATTGTGACGCTAAATAAAATATAATTTCACGGATTGCTTTGACATTAATTTTGAACACGATTTCGTCATAGCTCGCAATTTTTCGTTTTAACTCTCTCCACAAAGAAGGCACTGCAGCAGTGTTCAGCACATCCGCGGTCCTTTTCGTTATCATATTATTTCAATTATATATTGTAGCTACACTATGCTACGTAATACTATAGAACTTATATAGATAAGACATTTTTTTTCAAATGAGATAGGATTAGACATTATTAACTATTATTATATAAAATTGAGAGGAATGAGAAAATAATACGAATTATTTACCATGTAATAGCTAGTTTAATATTATATAATAATTTATTAATAATAATTATGATAATATTTAACAATATTATGAAAGTGTGGACATTATAAACAGTATAAGCTTATTTACACACATGTATACGTTGTAACTCGACTATGATTTAACCGTTTGTATTCAATGTATGTTTCAGGAAAAGAAGATACTTCAAACGAAGTATACCATTCTACTGGTCCGTCGTACCCAAGTCCATCGAGTATGCTTCTATTCCAGACACAGGTTAGACACCATAATATAATAACAATTAATAAATGATTAGCCTCTCGCTGCATTTTTCCGGCCCAATAAAACTTCCGACGACGGCATTTTGTTCCCACGTGATGATGATTATTATTATTGTTTGTTCGGCAACGATTTGCGTCGAATCGATCAATTGTACGAGGTATTTTTACCGAACACGGCTATTACGTTTTTTTTCTTTAAAAAAAGTGGCTACTACACCATTTAATATAGTCTACAACATATTATAATAGATTAAAAAAATAAATAAATAACATAACTTGAAGGGGGAAAATGATTTATTATTACATTACGTATAGATGTAGCTTACTATATTATACTAGTTGTATGTGTCAACTTACGCGTAGGTACTTTTAATTATTCTCCAGCCATGAGTTTGTGTCTAAATTTAAATTTGGATAACCTACTGGTTGGCTTGACGTATATTTAGGAAAAAAAATGTTTTAATAATGTACCTACGCGCTGCCGATCAAGTTCAAAAGTTTGTGATGGATTTATGTCGAGGACAGCTTCGAGCGGTATACATTATAACATAATGTATTAATTAAAAACTGTTTAAACTCAAATGTTTATTTCATATTTACTTTTCAATTTAGCCTTGTAATTACTTATACACGAGTTGGATAAATATTTAACTTTAATTAAATTGTCATATTTTGTTATAAAAGTCACATTTTAATAAAACATTTTAAAACGAAAATACAATATTTTTTGGATAGCTCGTTAGAGGCTGTTAATAATTATATAATATAGATGATTTTTTTACAAAAACAGATGTAAAAAATTAACTTTTTAAAATCTAATGCGATACCGAGTTATCATCGCACCGCACGTCCAGTTGCACCGAATGGACAATTTAATGAAGTTTAAGCGACATTTTCTGCCCGACTTGACGCATTTTCTCATAATATGTACGATACCTATCTATACCATCTTACCTTTATATAATATATCTATATTGTATTATTATATAGCAAAATCGATGTGTACAAAATAGCTTTTTCTATCTTGTTATTTGCTCGGCGTGGGTTTCAATATAACAAGTTAACGGGTATATATTCGATCTCAACAGTCCGATCAGACGAGAGACTTTCGATAATAGGTGCTGTCATAAAACGTATATCTAGCTTTAAACCGTAAATACGAGCAGAAAGTATCCAATATTTTTATAATTTGTCAACTTTGTAATAATTATTACATTTAAGGTCGTAGAAGATTTTAGATTTTTATTTAATATAAATTGTGCTCAACTATCGAAATACAGCTTTGTAAAAATAATCATATTGCTACAACGTATATTATTACGTATACGTATTCTATAGAGGGCACACATTTTTCTCCGTCCTACACACTTGAAATTATATTTTTAATATACCTCTCCTGCTCTGCAGTCTTCATTTATTACTCATCATTGTGATTATTTGCTGAAATCAAGATACTTTTAAGATTATGACAATTAAAACAACTACATAATAAAGCATTGTATTCCGTCAAAACGTCAAAAGCTTTTATTTACAATTTTTATTTTTAAAAGTTATTAATAATTAAACAAATAAAAAAAAATAACTTTCTTACAAATAAAATATTTAAGTTTTTAAACTGTATAAATACCTAATATTATTCTTTATAATTATTATAATAGTTGATGAACCGTAATTATTACAATAAAGTAATTCCAATGATTGGACAATGGAGACAGGTTTTATTAGGTATATTATTTTAGGTATTATAGAAAGAGAAAATATTTTTGCTAGAGTATGCCCTCTTAAAAATAAACACTCAAAAAGCATAAAAAGTTTTTTAAAATCTTGTTTTAGACAATATCAAATCATTAGGAAACAACATATTTCAAAAAAATTAATATTTTTATAATTTTCATTTTTACGATTGTCTGCAGGTTATAATGTTTAACCTTTTTTGAATGACAGCATTTATTTTTAATTAATTGTCGATAAATATTCTACCGAGGAACTCAATACATGAAAAATTAAGTTCGAAGTGTAGGTACCTATTTATCACTAGACTTCTGAATAATTATTAGTCGTGTACATAAGCCATTGTGTTATTAGCATTAATATAGTACTTACTATAGGTACCTACTTATATAATATAGCCATTCGTTTGAAAATTGTCTATTTATGGTACCCAATGTAGCCTGTCGTTAGGTTTAATACGACCATTCACTTTTGATCAAGACTTATCTAAATATTTGAACAAAAGTCTAAGCATTTATTACATTTTTTATTTAAAAAAACAAATTTATTCAGTATAGGTTTAACATTATACATAACAGTTGTATCTTTGCAAAATGTTTTAGGTAACAATTTAAAAAAAGTGTATTATACCTCTTTATACTAGGCACCTAAATATTATATATTAAATTTGTGTATTATTGTATTATCATTTGAACCGTTTCCCGATATAATAAATCAATTACTATCACAGTGACGAAGTGAGAGGTGGTGTATGGAGGGCTGTAGCCTCCTCCCCCCCCCCCCAAATTAAAAATATTATTTCCGTGGTCTATATAAAGTTATTGCAAAAATACTAATTTTACATAGCCGCACAGAAACCGAAATCTAAAATAAAATCACAATTTCAGTATGCTAAACGTGTATTAACCCGAACAGTTGAACCAACTCTGTTTAAGAGCATTATCAGCCTCTCCCCATCAAAAAAAACCTGGCTACCCTACTGGACTATTCAACAATCAGTAGCGGAAAAAATTATTACCCATTGTCTATAGTATGTACCTATGTAGCTTCAAAAATTGTATTAGATTTCTTTTAAGAAATGGTGCAACGGGAAATTTTCATTCTCAATCATTTTTTAATCTATTTTCATAATATTCCAAAGACACAAATAGATTTATTATAATTTTACTATAAATCCAATATATACGACCACACGTATTATGGTAAACAGCCAGTCTACGTTTAGATGAATAACCGTATTAAAATTCAATTTTTTTTTAAAGCCTCTTTGATCGATTCCAGAAAATCTGAAATTTAAATTTCAATCCTTTGATAAATAAACTACCCATATCAAAAGTAAAAATCAACGAAATAATAAACAAACAGCAAACAAACATCTTTAGTATTAATAATACATTAATGCCTAATGAATATTACATTAAAAAAAACATACACTCACACAATAACATATCTTATACTGGGTACTATATATTATTATCATTGATTTTTTTATAATATGCTATGAAGTACTTACAGACTACAGTATTAGGTAGAACTACTAAAGTTTATTATAAATGCAATGTTATTACATATGCGTCAACCTACTTTATATGTGTTTATATTGGATCGAGATATTTCAATCCAATTTTTACCAGAGCTTATGTAAGGAGGAATATTTTAAAAGTAATATGACGACCGGGAATTATTATAACAATTTTAAACGGTTGGATTGTTTGTTATCGACGCGACCAATCATCCAATGATGGTAATGTTTATCGACGACGATTATAATACATACATTATGCATACATTTACTTTCCCATAATACTATAATAATACACCTCATTCAAATACAATTATCAATCATTGATATTGTAATAATAATTCGACGAGATACACTGATAAGTACCGCATTGCTGAGTATAGTGATAAATATCGACCAACTAAACGTATCATATCAGACCATAGTCACGTCATGCGGGTAGGTAGGTAAACGAGAACTAATTTTACAATTACCATACGACTCGAACTCTGGAAACAAAATATCATTAATATCGATTTACCAATAACTGTATAGACAATGATTTGGTCAGAACAGTAAGTTATCGTTTTATATAACAAGTAATGTAAAAACAAGAATAGTATAAAATAAAACACAAATTTCATCTATAGATGTATATTTCTTGAGAATTTCATGTAATTGTCAATCGCACTAATAGCAGTGTAATATTCGGTTTACAGAGTATAACAGAAAGACCTGACGAATGAAAATTGATAGTATTAATTGATAATTTGAAAGTTAGTTATTACGTTTCAAATTAATTTACTCCAAAAAAATATTGCAAAAAATAATCTATACTTGACTTAAATAAACGTGTTTACTATCAAAATTACTTTACTTTAAAATATAGGGTTCTGTTCGATTTCAGTCGCACTGGTTCAAGTGAAATAATAATATATTATTATAAAGGTAGCTTCGCAAAAAATGTATTGATATCATACACCAAGATAAATAACAATAATCATACATTTTTTAGTCGTATGGGTGTAGGTATACAGAGTACGAATCCCTGCGAAAAAGATCGAGTAAAAAAAGTATACATGGAAAAAAGGCCGGTTTGATTTATTGTTTACATTATCTACAGTAATAACTAACAGAACAGTATTAAAAGATAGCACAATTTAATCTGTATTATAAAATATGAAATACTCAACATAATATAGTAGGTATGTCAAACCTAAATTATAAGTTTTGAATTATATTACATTATTCTTATATGGATTATTTTTTATGTTGTTACTTATTAATAACAAATTCTAAACAGACGCTATAAGCTACATCAAAAAAAAAATAGAAATTGAAAATTTAATATGGACAGTTAAAACGTATGTAAAAAACAAATTATCATTGTAAAAATTAATATTATGTAAAAAAAAAATGTCGATTGTCAGCCAATGGCCCTCGCCGCCGAGGCTTATTTCTAATAATAATAGAAAAAAAAATTACAAATTAATTTTCAGTATTATTAATTTTAAATTATATTAATAAATGTATATTTATTTATGAATCAAGACATTTTTTCATAAAAAAAATCAAACTGGACTTTATTTCCGTTTAGGAGTTTTGTGGTCGGACTTATTTCCGACTCCCACACACTATACATCATATAGGTATTTTGTAAGTTATAACAGTCATCACTACCGTACCTAGATACTATGGGTTCTATAAATATAAATAAACACAAAAATATATACCTCCGGATTGCCATATCTACACTGTATTAT